TAACGAAAACGACAGGTGTTGTCTGGGCTATTTCCTGCTTTCTATCGCCTATATCGCAGGAAACGTGGACATCTCTCCCACGGGACATGATCTGACCCAGTTATCACACCATTAGGGGGATGTCAAGCGAACCAAGGCCACATTTTTGACAGGAGCATCAAAGGCCCAAGTGCCGTCTATGGGCAGAAGATCATATGCCAATAGAAGAAATTTTCTGATCTAGCTCCCAAAAAAAAAACAGCTTTCGTGTGAATATTGACTATCGGTATAAGGAAGGGGGGGGGGGGGAGACAGCTTCCCAAAAAAAAAACAGCTTTCGTGTGAATATTGACTATCGGTATAAGGAAGGGGGGGGGGGGAAACAGCTTCGTTCGTGATATGCTTTTTCTTGACGAAAGGTCATGAGATCACCTGAGAAAAGAAACCTTCAGAACCTTCAGTTTCTTTTCCATGAATGGACGACGATATGGCTTGAACTTGAAAGATGAACAGCGTGGAATACATACATGTAAAGGTATGCATGGTACCGTAAGCAAGCACCGCAAGAGCAAACAATCTCGTAAATCCTGCGGGATATTTGCTAGCATAATCCTCACAGGTAGAGCTGATGACAAACATCGGCTTCCTTGACTTCACCTAATGAAATTCCCAGGTGCAGTGAATGCAAACAAGTTCACTTCTTTTTGCTGATTCAACAGTAAATAAATAGGATTCCCACATTTAATCTCCGCTGAAAGAGAAAAAAACCCTTCTGCGCTTTAACAATAATTTTCACCTGCCTACATTCCATTCCTCAGAAAGGGCTGCAAGTAAAGGAGGGATAGGAGTTTGGAAAAACGACAAAACACTTTACATGTTTCAAGTAATAATACATCCCCAGAGAGAACGAAGAGAAAAAAAGTTGATCACAAACTCTCAGCACCCTTGTTTTCGCCACCCAGCTGAGTGATGGCACATGTCAAGTTGCCCTCTAGGTCAAATTCTTGTCTTGCAGTATAAATAAAACGTTCAACAAATTCCTTTGAAGGAAACCTATTAGAAGATAATTCGCTAAGATGTGGAATTTATGTCACTGCCTTCATGGCCAAGAAAAGTTACTGGCTGATGATTCAGCTATTTTTTTTCAACAGACACTTTTGAGTTCTCCAGCCAACTTCAAGCGACATTGAAATGAAACAGAACAAAGGATATCGATGAGGCTCAATTTGGTTTGCAACGAGAATGCCTCCATCAATGTTAAGAAGCCTGCAGGTAAGTGGTTAAATTTAAAAGAGAGAGACAATGAAAAAGATCTACATCACTCTGGGACATCTGCAGTGGTCATCACTCTAGACAATTTTGCTATCGATCTTTCCTTTCTTTTCTTTTCTGACCACCTTCAAATTCATTCACTCACAAGAAAATTTCTAGATATTGAAGAGCTTTCTTCATACCAACCTCTAGAAACTTTTCACTAATGTTCTTAGATTAGTTTCCTTTCAATGCCTGATCTTTGCTGGAAAAAACAACTCACCACCAAACCATTGTTCTGGGGATGAGATATTCAAAGTCTTGTTGCATACATACAATACAATCCTATGTTATTTGACTCAAAAGGAAGGTAAGGTACCCATTATGCCTCAAAGACTTTTACATCATGCCTTTTTGTATCTAACAAAAAAAAAACTAAAAAACTTTGAAGGCAAAAAGCATGACAAACAATAGTATATAATCCTGTCTAGTAGTGATCCTGTCTATAAGTGGACATCTGTGAATTGAGTAATTTTTTGCATTCTATACAAAAAGGCTTAGCTTACAGAGAACTTATCCAAATAAAACTCCAACTGAAAATAGAGGCTCCCTTAATAAATCTTCATTTGGAAGGGTTTCCTGAAGCAGGCCCAGTAATAACATCATTGATGGTTTAGTAGCCCAACTGTCACTACTGTGCGTAACAGAGTGAGTTACAAACGTGAGAATTGTTTACTCCTTGGCAAAGGGATAAATACATTAAATATTTAACCCCCCCAAGCATGTGCAACAGCATATGCCACTCAGAACTGTTGCTGTTTTAAAAAAAGTCATGTTCAGGAGGGGGGGGGGGGAGAATTAAAAAAAGTCATGTTCAGGAGGGGGGGGGGGGAGAATTAAACAAAGTCAGATATGATGGACTGCAAAAAATCAATGAGAACAGACCATCTGAACCTGACAATTTTTATTATTATAAAGCAGAGGTCCATGACCTCTGGCCACGGAGCATGTGTGCTGATTGATAGAAGACTGTATATTATTGTAATGTGGGCTATTTGATAATTTACTAACAAATTAGGCAATTTTCATTTGCTGTAACTTCCACCTAAATATGAGATATGAAACAATTACTGAATGAACACTAATGAAGTTAATAGTGTATTTCAAATGCAATTGAAATTGTATCAATAGTGCATTATGGAAACCACTATTTCTCTGAATCTATCAAATCAACTTTTGGCATTAATATTTTGGCATATCAGGGATACAACCAAATAGAAGAGAGTATTTACCTCATCCAAGGGGGGATTTAATTCCAGATTATTATTTTATTTAATGCACATTCATTTGAGCCCCAAATGAATGGTCCTGCAATACTTCACTTTTATCTGCAGAAGTTCACAAACACATGAACAAACTTCCACAAATTTTCACCAGTTTTCTGTAGCATTCTCACAGCTTTGCAGCATGTCATATTAACACATGTTTCTACATTGGTCAAAGTATTGCCCCCTAGGCAAGGAGAAACTTCAGATACAAATGCAAAAAATTTTTAATCATGCTACAATGCTGAGAAATGGAAAGATAAATTCTGGGGACATAACAATATTATCAGTTATATTGACATACCAGTATTCAGAAATTAAACTGATTAATTTCATCCATTGGCTATGTACAATATTAATTTTTTGTGTGCAGATTTTGAGATTGCAGGAAAACACCATTCTTGTTCGGGCACCATAAAATGAGACCAACAACTAGATACCCCTTCTGAATCCATGTTTCCTTCCTTTTCTTTGAACAGGAATCAACATTTTTGCATCATCAGTTTTCCTCTTATCCATTTCATTTCTTCTAATCCACTCTGTTCAGAAGCTGGCTGATCCAATAAATCCTTGTGTGCTCAAGCTCAGCCACATTCTAAAATGAGTATTTTTGAGCTCCATGAACTCTTCAACCTCTTCAGACATGACAGCAAGTGTGCCTTCCAAATCTGCTTTCATTTTTTAAATAAATGGACTGGTTTTGGAAATCAAATGGCAGCCCTATGTTTGCAATCTTTTGTGCAGGATGTGTTTCACTTGGTGACAAAGAATGTGCGAAATGAATGGCTTCATCCACACCCTTCACAATAGGAGTTGATGCAACCAAAGTAATGACAAGTGTATTGAAATGAGGGTCAAAAGAGATTTAATCAGTGGATGAGGTCAAAAAGCAACTTAAACTGTGTATAAAAATTTGGGCTTCAATCAGAGGGGTGAAGTATTTCTAGAAATAGAAAGTTGCAACATTGGTTGATTTGCAATACAATTTCAGGGATTAAGCCATTAGACATACAATTTAGCAGCACTTGGTTACCCCTAGTTACCATTTCAAAGTCAAACATTATGCAATTTAGATTTGCAACTAAATTAGCAATGCAAGGCATTCATCATGTAAATAATGAATGCTAAGTCAACTAATACTAAATATAATAAATGCTTAGTGTAAGGCAGTGGTGCCCAACCTTTTCAGCTAGGGGGCCACATAGCTAACTCGCACAGCCATCAAGGGCCATATGCTGTCACTAGTATTGTAGGAGACTATTTTAAGGAAAACTGAAGATAATTTTTGTGGGTTAGGACCTTGTGGGCCACTTGTAAGCACCTCAAGGGCCACAGGTTGGACACCACTGGTATAAGGTGACATGGTAACTTCCTGCTAAGTAATAAACTTTGAGGTAAGCAATGAAAAAATATGCTTCTCAAATCCAAAATTTTGTCAGGATTACCACTTTTTGCATCAACAGCATATATACACGTGCATTTTTTATCATCTCATCTACTGCATAAAACAAATGTAATGTAAATGGAGTTTTTGTCCTTCCTGTACAATTCATTGCACATTTTTTATTTTTCCTTCAGTTTCATTCCAGACCCCTCAAAGCTTTTTCAAGATGTTACCTTATAAAAAAAAAAAGAACCATGCAAAAACATACTTGTTTCCAGGGCGATTTGACGTGTATCCAACAGTAAATTGAGACATGTTGAGATGATGATGAGGAGGAGGAGGAGGAGGAGGAATGTACTGGGATGCAGGTGGTGGCAATATGATAATGCAGCAAAGCCTTTATGCACTGAGATCTTGATGAATTTGTGGGGTAAGGTCTCAGATAACTTAGATACAGGATGTTTCTTTCAAAAAGCAGATACCTAATATAATTTGAAGAGAAATGAGAAACAGTCAACCATTTCCTAAGCACACTGAAATTTCTGCTTATAATTAGGCCTATTGTATACTGCTTGAACAAATCCTTTAATGATCATTCAAATTGCATCTGGGTGAAATGGAATGCATCAAACCAAACATATTCTCTTATTTTTACAAAAGTGAAAGTTGTAAGTCAGCATAACCAAAAAATAAAAATGAAGTCACTAGCTATTGTTTCATCAGTAATACAAATAGCTACAGATTTATGAAAAGGAAGAAAATCCAGAACCATAAAGTGCATGTTAGGCTAAGAAGCAGCCAAGTCTGAAGCATTCCTCAAGAGTAGTTGTATCCTCTGGATCTGCCTGAATTTTCATCAAGCAAGACTACATAGCTCATGCAGTCAGAGTAAAGGGTTAGCATAAACCATAATGAGCATTGACTTTTTCACGGCACTCAACCTATGCTCAACCAGTCACCACTCAAGGTAAATGTATGGATGAAGAGGTGGCATCCAAACAACTGCAATTCACCCAGCTGAGCCATGATAAAGAAAAATGAATACATAACACAGGTCAAACCTTGGCTATGGATATCACATATTTATTGACATTTGTCATTGCCACTAACAGCACCAAGATTATGTTTAATGATTAGCAAACGGCCATTTTCACTTGGGCAAGTCACACATACAAGTCCAAATTAAAATGGCAAAATACCCCATTTTCAAAAGATATAACAAGGTTTGAAGTCTAGTAACACTTCCTATATTCCAAACCATGTAGGAGTTCCTTGACGATCCCAATGCTTTTCCATTTCTTTCTTTTGCTGCTCCTGAAGACTTTGTAGTTCCTCTAAGTCCTTATCTTGCTGCTCTTCTGCATCTTTTGGGAACAGATTGGGGAACTGAAACTCCAAATCTTTTGGCTGGAATTAAACAGAGGGAATATATTGGCAAACAGGAGACAGCAAAAAGCAGCAGTATACTGATTATTAAGTGCAAACCATATTTACGAGACAAACTCACCAAGGTGACATAAGCAATCTTGTAGTCTTCATCCTTCACCACATATCCTTTATCACACATTTTTGTAGCACCTGAAAGTGCAGACATCATTAAGTATGGTTCCACAAATGGGCTCAAGATCTCAATTGGTAATTAATGTCAGGTTTCCCTGGCCACTACATTTTTATGGCTGTAAACTGACTTTTATGACTCATCATGGGTTTGTAGGCAATGCTACTGGTTTGAGGTTAGGAGGAGTTTTCAGAAAGTTAGGAGGCTGCTAACCTTATGCATGACAGGCTACTCTGAAGAACAAGGTAATTCAGGTTCTATGTTGCCAGGACATAGAGCACCCTCCAGTTTACAAAATTGGAGAGGTAGCATTGCCTCATTATGGTCATCAAGGCTAATGGACAATGAGCAGCTCTCTCTCGTGTTCTTTAGCTTCCAATTCTCAAACAGAATTCCTTTTGGAATTGACTCAAATGGTATGTTCCATTTAGAGCTCAGAGAGAAAATAAAGATATTTAGATCCAACCTCCCAAAAATGGGCTTTCATCCATTTCATTTCTCCACAGACCCTTTATGGAAGAAAGTGTGGACTGGGAGGAGTCAGCTGTGAAAGACTGGATCCAGATGATTCATATAAAAACTGGGACACTAGTTTATTACTAGAAAAACCCACCCAAGTTGATTGCTGGATGGATGATGAATATCATTGCACCCATGGTTACAACCTGGAAGTCTACAGTTACAGATTAGACCAATAACATATTCCATACTTCCCTAAACTGACAACACAGTAGAGGTCTTTGTAGGTCATTGCATTAGCTATGCATTTTGGTGAAGCAGTGAAGAAACTGCATCTGGGAGTAAGGAAATGGTATGCCCAAAAACTGCTCCACGTGAACTTGAAAATAGTCATAGATATAACCATTTCCAAAACCAAAGATCCATGAATCTGCAACACAGTTACTTTTTCCCAATTTCTCGACAAAATGGTAAGGTTTCAGATTTCATGCCATCATGAGAGCATTGATGGAAAATGCAGGCAAGTGATTCATTGGGGAAATCTAGCATCAAGTCTTGAAATGCTTTTGTAACTATGACAAGTAGATCCTATAACCATGGTGATTGATGACTGGGATTCTTAGCTGATACCATTCCATAAGGCAAGGGTGCTCAAAACTAAGGCCCATGGAGATGTAAATATTCCTAAATTTATACAACCTAAATCTTAATTTCTTGGCTCCCATTAACATTGTCTCAAACAAATAAGGCCAGTAAGGGGGATCTCGTTGCTGCATTCTGGTTTTAACTCTCATTTTAGGCAAAGGTTAAAAAAGAGGTCCCTGGAAAGTTATTGCTGATGCAGGTCACAAGTTTGAAAAGTTTGAGTGCCCCATGCCATAAGGTTCCTTGATGGAACATCAAGTGATGGTTTTGGAAACATACATAGAAAAATGTAGCCAATACGAGCAATGGTAAATAGGTATTCCCGGTACTTGCTATATGGAAACAATAAAAGCATGCCTCTATTTACTTACCCAGCCTATTATGAGTGGCCACATTTACAACTGGCACTTTGTAGATCTTCTCAAGATAATTCCTCACATCATATTTTGTCATTTCTGTGGATACAATAAAAGTGACGACATTTTTTGGCTGAGGGTTCTCAGGTTTAACAAGCTTCATGAAGAAATTTGGAAGGAAGATGCGTAGCTGTGGGTTTCCCCTCCTGAAGATTGGATACCTGAGAGGGAAAAAAAGCAATGCACACAAAGTAGCTTAAATCTTAAGCCTATTATCACAGGTCAAAATATCTGAGTGAGTCACTCAATGAGTGAAACTAATATCTCATAAGCATAGACTCACCATCTAGTTGACATTTTACCATGTGAGCAGATCAATAATAATGTTCCCAGGCAGTCAAGTCAGTCACATAGGCCAAGGCCTATGTTATGGTCTTTTTCATTTGACTCAAGTTAGGTCTAGGGGACAGGTCTTCTTAACTTCCTGTAGTTGAGAAAACAACACAAATTCCACATAGGTGATGTACACCAAAGTTGGACACTAAGGTTAACAAACACTTAGATTCTGATAAATTCAAGGAGATAATCTATGACAAGTACAATTTAAGCTAAACCTAATGGGCAGAACCAGGTCTCGCAGGACCAGGAGTAATTAGGGGTAACTTTCATGGGCATTTAAGCAAAAATAACCAAACAACTTTTACTTTTCCCACCAGTTAGGCCTATACATTTCTCCATCTTCCTCAAGACCAAGAAAAATCAAAAGCATCTGAAAAACTTCGTGGTGCAACTCAATGCCTAAAATCTGCTTCCTCTGCATTTTGCAGAAACCAGCCAGGCCATTTCACCTCCCAAATCAGTAAAGTCCCACATCAAAATAAAGGTTCTGACTTTTTTAAATGTCAAGGTCACACAGGCCAATCACCTCAAAAGGTTACATTGCAAAAGGTCCCTCTTTCCCAAAGCTCATACACCTATTGTTTTAGCTCATTTCCTTCTCTGTTTACAATGGCTACAATTGCCAAGACTACATTTGTGAGAGATCACTCAGGTGAAACACTGCTACTGCAGTGGGTCTTTCCCTGTTTCCTACATGTCCTATTTTCCTGTATGTCCTATTTCCAGTATGCTGACAAAGCAAAGCAAGTCAAGCTTGATCAACTCCCACCCCCTAATTCCACTTATCAAAAGTGAAACAAGCATATCATATGTAATCTCACGTCAGCATTGACAAATAGTAATAAAAAGAAAGTCAACATCCCAGACAAGCCTAAGCGGATGTAAAAAAAAAAAAATTTTCCAAACTATCAGCCCGTTGAGCATGGTCCTAACGTTAGACCTAAGACGTAAATCCATCCTCGCTATACGATGCAAGGCCTAGGCCAAACAATAGGCTTAATATCCAGCTGAGCTCTAACTTAAAGGCCAAGTCTCTAGCCTACGTACCTAGGCCTACGGCGCAAAGCCCACCTCGGTCAACTGCCAAAAAGGCCACGTTAGTGGTTTCACCTCAGCTGCTTACGGCCTAATACCCGGAAAAGGAGAATATTTGGACGATAAAATCGGTCATGGTCACGCAACCGAGAAGAGCCGGTGCGAACTGAAATTCCGGCGGGCGTCACACGGATGCAACACGACCAGGCACCTTACAGTGATGTCTACTTACTCCAAGCCGCTTGTCCTTTTCATGATCCTGAAGGCTCCTTAAGTTCACTAGAGTACTTGAGGAATAAAACATGAACTCGTAATGAAAAAAAAACCTTCTCTCTGTTGAGCTACGAATACCATCTTTCAACTGTGAGCGTTCTGGGTTGCATAATGCTCCGTCAGGTAAGGCCGAGATCATACTCGTGCTGTACAGTATGCAGTACATTGGACAGTATGCCCGTGTTGGATTGGATTTTGCCGCTGCACGAGTACAGCACGAGTATGAACTTGGCCTAAGGCTTAAAGATAGACAAGGAAATACGGGATTTCCGCACCGACCCCGTCATTTGTTGTTCTTTTTGGGATGACTAGCTTCCAAATAGAAATATAATGAGACATATTTGATCAAAAATGATAATAAAAATCCAAGACTCGATACCAGACTGTCCCTAGTCCCTATACGTGATCCTTTCAAAATTACAATGATGGGAAAATTCTTCAGATGGGGAAGACAACATCCGCCCGAAAACTCGGCTAGTATCAGAAAAAAATTCTGATACTTGGTCACTCTATGTGAAATCTACACAGCCATTAACCTGACCCCACCTCCGATTTTGATGACATTTTGTGGATTTGTAGGGTCCATTGAGAAGCTAATCCACACAAATGTTCAACTTCCTTGATATAGTGCTTCTTGAAGTACTGCGATTTGAATTGATTGCCCAAAGGTGCAAAGGTCCAGGTCACTTCACACTTTGACGTCGGGTGACGCGTATACGCGTCCTGCGGGGTTAGGTACCTAAAGTTCGAAGAGACACATACTATGAGTGTATTTCATGTAACGTTGGCCTATGTATTGACCCTTGCTTCGCCCAATTTCACACTTTTGAAGCTTTCTGACCAAAAGATTGATGCTATGATATCAGAATAAAAACTTTTTCTGAAAATTGATTTTTGACCCAAAACAATCCTGACGTGAAAGGCCCCCTGCCCAGTATTACATATCATGTCGTCATGTATACAGGGTCGGACTAGCGACCTAGGGGCCCCGGGGGAAATTTACGAGATATCCCAGTGGGCCAGTTTTTTTGGCAACGAGGCCTATGAATCTGGACAAATTACGACCATAGCCTATTCCCAATCGTCAACTCCATCGGCTCGATGTTAATGTAACTTGTTCTCTACCGCCACCTGTCTAACGCGACTAGCGGCAATGGATTCACAGACTCGCTGTGCCAGCCACCCTTTCATTCCGCCAGAACACAAGGAAGTAAGAATATCGATAGAACGTAGGGCCATTCCCTCCATTCTTTCGCTCTCCTGGCTGCCAGTCTAAATTATACGATTATTTTTTAACTCTCCTCCTCTCCCTTTCCCCAACACATCCCTCCCTTTTCTCGAATCGGCCGGACGATTGGCCATCAGGGTCATATCTCTGCAGTTTCAAAAGTGAGGGAACCACCATCAGAGCGTTCACCTGTGCTTTCGATGCCAATCTGCAATCTGGGAGGAAAAATCCCCTCTTTATTACGGCCACCTGTCTACACCGATCAAACTTAGAAAGGTCCCATTCAGGCTGCATTGAACACGTTTCGCTCTACATATATAAAGCACTTACAAAAATGAATAATGCATTATATTTATCAGTACATACATTCTACTGTTAACAAATACGACTGGAATATTGATCATTTTACTACCTCAAGTCCAAGGTTTATCCACAAATTTCTATAAAAACCAACATCCAGTTTTTTCCAGGGCATTCGCAGCAGATTTTTTTATCGCTTACGGCCATATTGTTATTGTGATCTTTCGATCCCACGGCAGTCCCGAATTGAATTTCGGTGCATACGAAGAAGAAAAGCTGAGAATGTTGAGAAAATACATTTTTGTATTGAAAAAAAAAGAGAATGAACTTTCCTCCGAAAGTAAAGGTCAATGCTCAAACTTTCCAACCTTTGACCTTCATTTCCAAGCAAACTCCATAAACACATACAAAAAAAGGCATTAAAATAGCTTTTAAATGACGCTTTGTTCATATCTTTGTCTTAATTAATTTGAACGCAACTTCTGGACACTCAAGTGATGACAAGAAATAGGCACTTTTTAGCAATCAATTCAAATCACGGTGCTTGAAAAAACACTTGACCCAGGAAGCTGAAAATTGTGTGGGACTTGGTTTCTCAATGAATCCTACAAATCCACAAATTTTACTGAAAATCGGGAACCATCTCAATTCTCTTCTTTGCGACTTGACGTGGAATACTGGGAAACGTGGAGGAGAGAAAGGAGAACCCTTATCCCTCGGCAGAATCTAAACGATTCCCACATCGATGTACGATAGCTGCATCAGAAATGAAAAAATAATTCTGAAGCACATCAGGATAGCGCACGATCAGATATTACTCGCCGCGTTCTCGTTTCAAAGGGGGTCAAAATATGGATCCTCTCGGAGAGGCGCAAAGGCGGCGAACCTGCAGGTCCATCATCCCAAGCTCACACCCCTCCAAAAAATTTGTCACATATTTGGTGACACCGACGTGATGAAGATTCTCGCATCCGCACTAACACGAGGACGAAAGTCCCGGCAGGAGACTCTCATGTCCCAACATTTTCCCTTACCCGGGAGACGCATCCGGTCCAAAACAATGCATTGACGACGCGCAGCCAATCGATTCGGCAGAAAAGCACAATCTCGTTCCCAAAAGGATTCAGTGCAGTGAAACTCACGATAGGAAGCACGCGGAGGAAACCTACGGAGAGAAGGGAGATGGGGAGAGCAGCGACATCTCTTGTCGGTCTTCAGAACTTTGAGGGGGTGGGTCCTGAGAGAGACTCGCGTGACGTCACGTATCAAGTGACATCACGGGAAAGGGGACGTCCATCGTGACGTCAGACGGAAAAGTGACACTTTCTTGACGTCACAGGGGCACCAGGAGTTCTGCTATTCATTTGGTACGCGAAAACCACGAATTTTACCGTGAAGCTGAAATATTGGCGGGTGGTGCAGGGCTTCGAACGTCATTCGCGTCGCTGAATGAGAATCCCTGTCAGCTTTAGCAAGTATGGGGAATCTTCATAAAAAAGAGAGAGATGGGGATAATCCTTCCTGTGCAAACATGATACAGAGCCGGGAAAAGGGAGGTATCACAGGTTCAAGAATATGGCACAACTCAATCTTTTGCGCTCTCACTAAACTTCGTATCGAGTTGTTCTTTCAGTGATTACAGCAGTAGGAACACTTTTCCGGGCCGAAGACTTCAGGGATCATTGCATGTGTCCGACACGGCAGCGGAACATCGACATTGAGAAAAATTTTCCCGACCGGTGGTAGTTTTACCGAACTTATCCATAATTTAAAAAGAAACGTTCGCCGATACTGTACATATTTTAGTGGGAATATCGATTCCCGATCGAGAATAAGTAACATACCATGCGAGTCCTCAAGCTGGTGGAAGAGTTGAACATTTTCACTGTGGCATTCGTGATAATCATGAATTGCAGCCTCGGAACAGAAAAGGTCTGGTCCCAGCAAGGACCTCCTCACATTCACTTCATCCACAGAGCGATTCTCCCGGAACAGAGGGGTTACACTGGCCCCGATGCATCTAGATACGACCCCTTCAAGGCCAACGGGAATTGTTCTCTTCGAACTTTGGAATGCCCACTGGCATTTGCGGGTGATTCCTTTGTGAAGGACGCGCGGGAAAGACGGCGGCGCCTTTTCCACGGCGTTCAACCTGGCCGCAACAGAATGGACTAAGTCTGTACGACGGTGAGGAAAATGCTTTTATCCCCCTCCCCCCAACCAAAACTTGCATTTTTTTGCATAGGAAATGATCGTTTCCACTCGCTCGACCTATCGACATTTTATCGAATAGGACCCCTTCGAGGCGGACGATATTTCCTGTTTAATGAGAATGGAAAGGTTCGGTGCAAGATTTAAGGCAAGCCATATTTTCATCAAGATTGAAATATCACTACCGACTATATTACGTGCATCTTTCATGCGCAGCTCAATGTAATTTTTTTTCTTCATTTATATCTGTATATAGATCACCGAGCATACCTGAAATCCTCCACCTGGACGTGCAGCCATAAGAGCATATCAAACTCGGACCATCTTTCTCGGAAATAAGGATCGAAAGCTCAGTGACCTTGCCACGAATCCCTGAAAGGCACTCTTGGAACCTCTGAAAAGCCTGAATCCCGTTAGCGGCGGGCCATTTCTCGTAGCTTCGGGGAATCTCAAATATTAATAGCTGTTCTCACACCAATAAGTGAGATTAATGACGGTCCCCTCCCCTCCCCTTCATCACCTTCCAGGATTTGTTAGGATCCTAAAACCACAAAAGGCCGAACGTATTCCACTCGATTCGTGCAGCCATGTCACAGAGATAAACATGTCTTCCCCGTGCTTCCGGGTAAGAAAATCAATCATGTCTCTTTCTGGGAGAGGAGGGTCTGGGGCTGGACTAAAGCTAACGGAACCAGCGTAAACATCATCGTTATTTTCTTCTCGCCCCCCCCCCCATTCCAACCGGTTCGTGTAGAGAGACCTGACTCGCATGGGTACCTTCAATTTTAAATTTTACGCCTTGCCAAGGCACCAATTCTGAGGGGGTCATACGGGATCTAATTCTTATCTCTGGGGAAAAGATTTATCAATCCGCTATTTGCCTTCAGTTTTATGATCGCGAGCCAAACGCTGGGAAAGAGCAAAACAATGTTCTGCGCAATACGTTGACAAGTTCTCACCTCCAATTTTGCAGTTTATCCTTCCACGGAGCCAGGAAGTCCCCAACAGCAACATAAAATTCCGACTTTATGACGAACGACATCTTCCAGCCATGGGCTGCATTCGAGTCATAAGGACTCAGATACTAAATTCTTCATTCCTCGCTGACATTTCTTCGTCGCTCTACACCCAATCTAAGACTAATTAATTTAAAAAGCTAGAGTTTAAAATGAGGATTGGGCTTAAAGAGGCGCAGAAACTTAGGATCCACCACACCGAAACACACATTCAGAAACTCGTGCATCATTTTCATGCAGAGAATCGTCACAAACTTCGACATCGACTAAAAAATCCCAATGTGTAGACTCGGACAGCTGGGAAACCCAGAAACTTCTTCCGATTCGGATTCCATGCGATCAAAGTCGAGACGGACGAGCAGCAGCAATGGATAGCACCTAAAATGGTTCTCTTCTCGATATTTTATGCACTTGAGTGACAGGCTAAACGCAGTATCTGTGCGTTCAAAAACGTATGAATAAAAGTAATTTTCGATACAATTTTCCTGCATTTAGCAGTTAAAATATTCAGCATGCATTTAGGGCACAATAAAAGTTGGAAATCCCCTCGAAAAAATGCCCACATGGCAACTTACCTAGGGTTCAAACAGCAGGAATCTTCGCGGATTCCTCGGGAAGTTTCTCGTCCC